ATATATATATATATATATATATAGGAAATATATATATATATATATATATATATATATATATATATATATATATATATATATATATATATATATATATATATATTATATATATATGTCGTACCTAGTAGCCAGAACGCACTTCTCAGCCTACTACTGCATGAGGTCAATTTTTTTTCATTGGAGTTAAAATTAACGTTGATATATGACATAACCTAACCAACCCTACCTAACCTAACCTAACCTATCTTTATAGGTTAGGTTAGGTTAGGTAGCCAAAAGTGCAATTATAGGGACCCACAGCCTCAGAGAAGGGAACACAGAGCATTCAGGGAAAAACTTGCCATTTAACTCTGAATACGAAAGAGTGTTCGGTTCTCCTACCACCCCCCTTGTTTTTTTATTATGGTGTACACTTTATTATGCAAGGTTATACAGTTACATATCTGATTTTATACAAAAAATGAACATTAAAAGGACACAAGAATAAGTTCGCTTCCTAGAGGCTGTAGATTTCCTCGAACTCCTCCGACGCTGGGCAGGAACCGAGGATGCAGCGGGCATTCCCCCTCTGGATCGCGACACTGAGGCGCTGAAAGAGAAAACTTGCCGCTCTAGGGTCTCTAGTGGTTTCAATGAGCTTGGAACCAAGATTCTTAAGAAACCTTCTTGCACTCTCACCCCATGGGCCTAGGGTCTCAGACCCTATTGGAACGAAGTTGTACCGTTGATCTAATTGCCTGTACTTGACTGACTTTTGTTTTTCTCTGTGTGTCGCTGCGGCTCCTGCTGTGCCGACAGAGAGGGTGATGTATGTCGTTGCCAGGGTGGATACGCAAGTATAGTCCCATGCTAACTGCCTGCCACCCTTCCACGGACGCAGTGTGATTCCGTCTGGTCGGCCGGCAAAGCTAACAGAGTCACGGTTCAGTAGGTTGCGGGGCTCTCTCTCCGCTAAACACTGAGCAGAGGCAAGGCTTCTTTTAATGATGTCGTTGACTTCGTCGTGTCTAGTGTGCCAACCACCCGATTTTCCACAGTGCAGGCCATGCAATCCATATTCGTCAGCATCTGCCTCGCCGCAAATACACCTGTGAACAGTGTGGATAGGGGCAGCAAGGCAGAGAGCGACTGCAATACGGAGCTCCTGCGGGTCAAGACGTGTGCCTGTCGCAGACATGGGGACTGCCAGAAGGAAGTCCCCTGCATGGGGAGCCTGCACAGCTGTGAGGCGTGCACGATCACTGGGGGTTGTTGCTGCCTCCAGCAAAGCTGTGGCTTCTTTGTCTACAATGGGGCTGTCCCAACTGAATTGTTTCTTGGCTTTCGGCATGGCTGGTCTGAGTGCTGGGTCTGTCATGGCACCCCATTTCGTGTCGCATTCCGTATAGTGGGGGTCCTGTATCCCCGCTACATCACTCAGGGTGTCAGGTAGAATTTCCTTAACCAGGTCATCTGATGCTGAGGAGGAAGACAGGAAGGCTGGGACAGCAATTTGGGTGGCGGTGCGGACACCCAAGCCACCGAGCCTGACAGGAAGAGTGGCTTGTTTCCACTGGCATTCGTTGAGGGAGAGGTTAACAACTTTTTCCAGCATGGTCTTCAGTAAGAGGTCATACTCTTCAAGCTTTCAGTTGTCGTAAGATGGGGCACACCTCAGAAAGTAGGTTAGCCTCGGAAGGGATAGGCATTTGGCGAGGAGATAAAAAGCATCGTGGGCATCGATGTCACCTATTCTGTCTTCCATCCTCCTAAGGTCTGCGATTTTCTTGTTGAGGATCTCCTCAATGGCGTTAGACCCGAGGGGGGCTCCAAGGAGGGTGCTGTTCTCGGCCCTAATGACATTGGCTCCAGGCAAGGCAGACCTTATTCTAGCTACGATGTCTGGGTTGGAGGAGACTACTTCACACTTGGAAGGGTTCAGGACGAGACCCAGGCTTACCTTTTGCTCCCTTATTTTCCTGATATCTGACAAGAGGTGGTCTATGGTGCCAGCTATAGTGCCATTATTCAAAAACCAGATGTTGCACTCGCTGGACATGCTTTCGGTGATTTCTTTTATGACTAAGCAGAAAAGAAGGGGAGCAAGAGGATCACCTTTGCTGAACACCTTCACATGATCTGATTTCATGTTTACCAAAGAGCAGTTTTGACTCGCCACTGTAGCACGATAGTATGAACGGGTAGAGGGGCCGGAAATGGCGATGCACGGCACAAAGTACTGCATCTCTTCTTACCATGTTGAAGGCATTTTTAAAATCCAGTTTGAGCAGGGCCTTTTCATCAGAAATGTTGGTGATGTATGCTTGTCGGAAAATCCGACACCATTTAATATCATACAGATAATAGCTGTGTTGTATAAACAAGTTAACCATAGAAAACGTAACTTGTAGTGGAATTACCGTCTAAAGAAAATGGGATATCATCACCACATACTATTATATTCTCCACCTATTATGGTGGGAATTATTCTTAAATACATTAGTCTTTGGACTTTACCATCATAAAAACATCTTATATAAATTAACTTAATTATCAATATTAAAGTAGAGTAAATGTGACCCTTCTATCACTTTCTGAAATCTGGACAATGTAAGCCAGGCGTCAGGGAGGTAGGAGGGCAGCCATTGTTGTGTCACATCCGAGACGTGTGGAGCAAATTCGGCTCCTATCATATCTGGACAATGTCGGCCAGGCGTCAATAGTATGGAGTGTTAGACGCAGCTATTGTTGATACGAGACCAGAGGCTCACACGGGAGCAAATTCGGCTCCTGTTAATTTTACTTGGACGTAGTGTTATGGAAACCAAAGGTGTACCATTTTCAACACGCTGTCAACAAATTCAAGTTAAGTGTTCTTTCCGAAACCCATGTATCTTCATTTATGGCCATTAATGTCATTATATAGGGTGACCCGGTTAGAGCACGTGGAAACCTCAAACTAAAGGTAATTAAGCCAGGTCTTTAAGGTTCCATGTACAGTGTTTTCTCTGATATACTTGTCATATATAGGATTCTGGCTTTACAGCTAGCGCCCTTTTAACAGGTCAAGACGAGGAAGCAATGTGCAACAGTTACTGGGTGATGGAAGCTATCTCAAAGAGGATAATGGTGTCTACATCCTAGTTATATCTGTTTGGACTAACCTGCTGTACTATAAGATAAGGAACCTCTTCAATGTATGTAGTCTATTACTGTAGTTTGATTGGCTGCATATATATTAATTTAATAAACCCCCCTAATGTGTAGAGGATCGATTTGTGAGATTAAGAGATTATTGCAGAAATACAGTCCACTTATCATTATACAAATTGCTATCGAAGTATATAAATTAACGTAAATATAAATTCATATAAATTAAATAAATATAAATCTCACAGGTCGGTTCCCACAATACTCGTGCTGCATGGGCAGCCGCTTCACAGCCTTGGGGGATTCCAAATCCTAGCTGGATTGGTTTCAGCAATTCAGCCGCTTGCTGGCTGACTACCCTCGTAGCGGCCTTGGCAATCAGGCGTCGGAGAGTGTTGCCAACAGCGATTGGCCTGATTCCTTCGTCCTTCTTTTTGAGAGCACAGAGGGAGGCACCAAAAAAGAGAGGCCTGATGACCTCAGGTATATCACCAGCCAGGTACATGTTGACGAACCTTGTGAGTTCCATAAGAAGATCTTGTGCAGCATCACCAACTGCAGGATTTAACATTTGCTTGATATGTTGAGGTTTTAACCCTGTAAAGCCGCCTGCTGACCCATGTGGAAAAGAAAGGGCTGCTTTGTAGACCTCAGATTCACCACCGGTTAATGGGTCTGAAATGGTGTCGGCTGATGGCGGAACGATGTTGTCGCCTTGAGGGGCTCTGGGTGGGTGCTTGCTTTGCAGGGCCCGTGCTGTGGCCGAGTTTCGAGGAGCAATTTTCTCGTCACTGGTGAGGACTCTAATAGCACTTGCGGTATTTCCCTCTTCAATTTTCTTGGTGGTTTGTGCTCTGATTTTGTACGTTTCCGGTATGTTGTTACCATTTCTGCGGTGGGTATGTTTTGCTTGGGGAGGCAGGCGAACTAGGTTATCCCCCTTGGGTATTCATTTATCGTCCTCAGGACCGAGGAAGCAAGTGATTTGTCCCTCCTTGGAGGGACGGTGAGGCATACATTGCCAAACAGAAGGATATATATTGAGATGTTATACATATATATATATATATATATATATATATATATATATATATATATATATATATATATATAACAGCTATATCAGAGGAAATATTGGTAATTTAAATAAGGGGATGAGAATATTGCTCACCATGGGTGGGTTGGTCGGTGTCTCGTGTCCTAACCGGAAATATCCTATCTACCTAACATTACTGGCCAAGAATGAATAGATATGATTTCGGAATTGAACACTTCGCTTGTTTAGATGATGACTGCTTGTTGATAATGGAAACACTAATTTACTCTCCATAACATCCGTCCAAGGGAGTTATTGGAGCCAGATTTGCCCCAGCGACTATTGTCTAATTAAAATGGCTGGCTACTGGCTCTCCTCCACTGATGCCCTGGCTGTCTTGTAAAGATATCAAGAAGTGGTAGAATGGTCCCATTTACTCTATTTTGGTACTAATAATAAAGTTAATTCAAGGGGAGAGGTTTTTATAAGGTTTACAGTCCATGGACCAAGGTATTAAGAATAATTAGAACACCAGCTACAGAATTAGCTGGTGAATTTAATAACGACGTGACAATGATATCTCGTTTTCTATGAAAGGAAATTTTCACTGCATCTTCTATATGTTAATTTGTTATTACAATCCAGCAATTATAGTGATAAGGATTGTGTGTAGTGAAGATATAGTTTCCGTCGTCTGAAAAACCCCGTCATCTGAACATAATAACTTTTGTGTACAATGTCCTGTATCCTCATTATTCATATACATATTTTGATATAAATATATTTTTTCATTAAGTTAACAGTTGCCTTATACATATTTTCTTTCATTTTTCAGAACAAGTCACGTCTGCTGATTCCTTACATGATAATGTGCTTGATCAATATCATCATCCTGATACTCGTAGCCTTGGCTCTCATTGTACTCGCCGGTCTTCATCTACCAGGGTGGTATGTGGTTATCATCATCATAGTGTTTGGTGCCTGGATCTTCTGGGCCACATTCTTGCTTCTGGTCATCCGTACACACTACTTAGAAGTGAGTCAATTACATATATTTTGAATATTTACCGTTACTAAAACATTGCAGGCTTTTTGCCGCCACTGTGAGAGAGTGAACCCCAACCCCCTCTCTCTCTCACTCTCCCTCACTTCACTCTCCCGTTGTTTTGCTCAACAACACGTTACAAACCTTTTTAAAGTTTAGTGAATCGTGCAAGTCACGAATATTAAGACAATCCTACGGAAAGGCAAATAATTTACTTCAATGATGACATGTTTTGTACAGAAAGGAGAAAGGGACTCGAACGCTGGACAAGATGGAACGATTCGATATAATTTTTGTATTCTTCGTTGGAGACCAGGGTGTTCAGAGATTAGCGGATCCAACAGGGGGTCATATAAATAGGATAAGGCTTCAAATTAGCTACTGATGTGCACCTTGCCTGTAAACAGTCTGTGGAGAGCTCTTAACCTACAAACAATGAGCTGTGGGGCAATGTTCTTAGTATCACTTGTGCAAACAAATTACAACACAATCAATGGTGCCATCAGGAGCAAATTATTTTCATATATAACATATTTTAATTAAACTCATATTTGCCAAAAATTAACCACATTTATGTTGGCATTTAACTAATAATTATTATAAAATACTCTGTGTTGATTTAATTGTTTGTTTATATATGTAATTATGAAATTAAATAATTGCAGATGAAACGTGAAAATCCTGGCCATATGGTGTTGAAGTAGCAGTCTAATTATCGGTTCTATAAGAAGAAACTTCAGCCAGTTTCAGAATTTCTAGGAATTGATCTGTCTGTTGTTGTTAACATAGTTATACTTGCATGGACATATACATCTATTCTACAAGTCACTGTTGGTGAATACGAAGAGAACACAAAAAATATATTAGTAAACTGTTGCCAGGTCAGGTGTTGATTCTGGTGTAAATAAAGAATTGGAAAATCTTTAATAAGAATATAACCATGTCTGTTTTAGCTGGTAGTGTGTTTGTCAAATACCTCAGGGTGATAATACATGTTATCTTGAATTATAAATAAGGGGGCCGACGGCCCTATCATCTTTTACTCTTGAAAATATTTTTAAATTTCTCTTTCTGTGATATTTAGTCCTTTGTGGTTGGGGCATTGTGCTGTTCCTGCCATACAGTGATCATACTGTAAGGAGGCTGCGCAAGACCTATTGATCCATGCTAAATAATTTATATAATTATTCATTGTGTCGGGGGACAGGACGCCAGAGTGTATTCATACACGTTAGGATGACGTGATCGGGGTCCTCCACCCTCAAAGGTCGAATTACTGACCCCGCCCAGGATGCAACCCTACAACAAGCTGACTAACTTCTGGGTACCTTCTTAGTGCTAGGTGAACGGGTGCCTTAGGAAATGCGCCCAACCATTTCCGCTGCCCGGGATTCGAATCTGGAATTCTCGATTGTAAGTTGAGAACGAACCCGGGACCCATTTGATCTACCAACAGATCTTTTACAAATATCTCCAGTTCGCTGGTGATATTGTAGGCTTGCCGCCGCCTCCCATTGGATGGGGGGGGGTAAGGTATGTATTATAAGTTTGTACAACTTGAAACTGGAGACTGTAGATGTGGTCGTTCTCGAACCAATTGTTAATGTAATAACTCATCAAAGGGTGTAACTAGGTTATTAAGACTGTAACTTGCTAACCCTTCGTTCCCAAACTCTTTACTGTCACTACTACTTTTTGATAGCGCCCCTTATTAATGGCCGCATACAATCAATATTTAAAAGATATTTATCAGCATAAATGTTATTGTACTTATTATGTTATTTTGTCTTTCCTTCAGTACGATATATTAATCCATATTAATGGAACCAAACAAGTAATACACATTCCTACAACAGACAATAATAAAATGAAACACTTGATGTTTTATTTAACATCTTTTACAAAAATAAGCTACAGCACTTACAATGTTTATGTCATTTGTTTCGCCATTCCAATCACTGTGAAGGGTGATGTTGCCTTTTAACAACCAGCTTCTTGATTCCTGGTTTTGTTACAATAAAAAAGCACAGTAGGTTTATTTTATATATATATATATATATATATATATATGTTGGATTTCTGGGGCTTGAACTCATATATTAAATTATTTGATTATTGTATTTAAGTAAATCGAAGGACCACCCACTTTTGAGAAAAGAGGGAAAACGAATAATAGTGATCATTAGAATGACACTATAGAACCAGTGTCTATGGATAATAATTAAATGAATAATCACTTGAAAATAATGAATAGACTGTATTATTAATAAATTAAAGTCAAAGCCTCAAATATCAACATTGGGGGGGTATTTCTAGAAGTTCATATATATCTAGGAACCAGTGTGGTTCGTCACTAGTTCATTGTTGAGTTAGTAACATAGTAAATCTAAACTACAATTGATTCAAAGATATGATAACTCAAATTATGAATATTAAAGATTATGAATTACTGAGCAACAGTCAGAGCAAACACATTAATTACCAAATCATCATTTCTGGCAATAAATTATTCACTGTAAAGATCCTATATGAATTATATGGAAATCAGTAATAATCTTAGATAAAGTTGTACGAAATAAATGTCTTATCTGTAAGACGATTTCTGTAACGCCATTTCATCATTCGTCCTCGTGGTCACAGGATCCCAATAAAGAAAGAACCCGAGGTGAATATCACGAATGATGAGAAACAACTTGTCGACTCCTCGTATACACGCTGAAATCAGAGAAATTTAAGTAGCATTTGATTAGGCTACGAATTATTTCAAATATTCATGAACACTGAGAACATGTGGAAAATAAACTAACGTTGTGTATTAGGTATCCATGCTGTATAACGACAGACTACCCACAAATATACAATCTAGGATGATGCATCAAACGAGAATGGTATACTTAACATGAGCGTATCAAATACTAAGGTCTGCCGAAACCGCGTCAGCCAGTCCCAGGCGTCCACTGCTGTGTACGCGTAATTACGGGCCGTGGCTTCAATTGTTGACGCGTTATTAACTGGCAGGGCACTATAGAACACGTGGATAAGTAATTGTTGACTGTTAACCGGGTATCAACGTAATTCTTGTCGATAAAAACTCCCCAGTCACTACCACGTGTCTCGCCACTCTTCACGCCAGGGATGCCTCGTGTACAATGGTGTCTCCGCCTTCCCTCAACCCGTCTCTCGCATTCACCACAGACATTATTAATCACGGATAATTCTTTTCTGCGTAATTATTGATGTAATACGTTGATGAGAACCGGGTTGCAATTATAGGGACTTAAATATTATCATATTCTCGTTTAATGGTGTTAAACGAGAAATGGAGAAGATTTTTATTCTCTCCATAGCATTCGTACGTAACAGATAAAACTGCTACTTGATAATAATTTCAGTTAATAACTCTCGGTTTTGGATTATCGGGAGTCATATTATCCGTAGGTAATTATTACACGGAATACTGATAATTTTAGAGAACCACATTCAATTCTCTAACACATTGGTAATAAACGTGTCTAACTAGACATTATCTGACGCAATTTTGCTACTCGATTTCGTGAGAATTCTAGCACTAATGCGCAGATAAATTGTTAATTTATGTTGACACTACCGTTAGTGAAATTAGTAACTACTGTAGTTAGTATATAATGATGATGATGTATTATAATACAATAGTAGTTTGCTAGTGTTGAAAATTTCCACCAATATATATATATATATATATATATATATATATATATATATATATATATATAGTACCTAGTAGCCAGAACGCACTTCTCAGCCTACTATGCAAGGCCCGATTTGCCTAATAAGCCAAGTTTTCATGAATTAATATATTTTCTCTAATTTTTTTCTTATGAAATGATAAAGCTACCCATTTCATTATGTATGAGGTTAATTTTTTTTATTGGAGTTAAAATTAACGTAGATATATGACCAAACCTAACCAACCCTACCTAACCTAACCTAACCTATCTTTATAGGTTAGGTTAGGTTAGGTAGCCGAAAAAGTTAGGTTAGGTTAGGTTAGGCAACTCGAAAAACAAAATTAATTCATGAAAACTTGGCTTATTAGGCAAATCGGGCCTTGCATAGTAGGCTGAGAAGTGCGTTCTGGCTACTAGGTACGACATATGTCTATATATATATATATATATATATATATATATATATATATATATATATATATATATATATATATATATATATATATATATATATATATATATATATATATATATACAAGTTTATTACAATATTTTGGCTTTATGTGGAGTAGGTGAGAGAAAGATACCTTACTGGAACTGGTTGATGCAAATGGGAGGAGGCGGCGAAGTTCTAGATCACATAGGTTTGGGTCAGAAGCTGCCTCTGATGACCAAAACACAGTGAGAGATTCAGCTTCAAACTTCCGCTTGACTCCTGAATCTTCCTGAAGCCTCAATATCTCTGTCAGAGCATCATCATTGTCTTCAGGTATTAGATTTACTGGAGCAGAGAATGGGCCCCTTGGTACCTGTGAGATTTGGCTCCGGATGTCTGGGAAGTAAGTTCCTTAAAAATTCCTCTTCAAAAGCCTCAAAATAAATGTTAAACTATCAAATTTTGAATAACAGTATCGCATTCCTCTGTAACTTGTGAGACAGTTTACAGAGGAATGTGACACTGTTATACAAAATTTGATAGTTTAACGTTTATGTTGAGGCTCTTGAAAAGAAATTGAAAGGTACTTCCCAGACATCCGGAGCCAAACGTCACAGCTACTAAGGGCCCCATTCACTGCTCCAGTAAATCTTATACCTGAAGACAATGATGATGCTCTGATACAGATAACGAGTTTGATCTCTTCTTTTAGGATGTTTCCTTAGCTGGTGTGTGCAGATGTATAGATAGGGAGTCATGAGGGATGCCATTCTAGAGAAGGTTTTGATGTAGTGTGTGATTGAAAGTAATGGAGTACAATTAAGAAATATGTTATGTGCAGATTTGTTAATATGGGTATGTTAGATAACACTACTAAATGTGAATGGGGAAAATAAAGCAACAATATTGCAAAGAAATGGAAATTGTAAAATATAAGTAAACTGAGAAAGCCTATAAGATGAATAAATACCTAAAGTCTGTAATTGACAAAAAGAGGAATTTGTCGAGAAGTTGAGAGTAGAGTAAGGCAAGAGAAGACAGTGGCAGATGTAATGAAAGCTCTGGTTAGGAAGACTAAGGTAGGAAGGAATGTAGCTAGAGGGTATGAAGACATGTTAGTGCTCACCATTATGTTTGGCTGAGAGATGCTGGTGTGTCATGGTTATACAAAAATCAACAGTTGAAGGTGTAGACATGGACTACTTGCATTTGTTATGCTAGGATTATGCTAGGAGTACAGAGTGAGGAATACACATTTTCTGGAAGTCAGTAAACCAAAGATTGATAAAAGTATATCGAGACAGTTTGGCCATATCGAATGACTGGATGAGGATAACGGTAGAGTAATTACGTTCTTGTCAATGTGACTGTAGAAGACGAAGAGGATGACCAAGAACATCCAGGTAGACATGATAATTGTTTGAGGAGCTCACAGAGGTTGCTGCTGAATAAGGTTAAGAATTTTCAAGTGGTTAAGGAGTGAATGTTTGACATACAATGTTTTAAATGACGACAGTACCTACTGGAAGCACTTAACACCTGGTCAGATGAAGCAGTAGTGTGTGTGGCGATACTGAACTTGCATAATAGTGAGTAGTGTGGAAGACGGGCTGAATGCTGGTGTGTTTTTCAGTGTCTTGATCTCTTTTCCCTTCTTCCTTCCTTTTTCCTCCAGCATACTTTCTCCTCGTCCCGTAAGAACTGGAGGCAATGTAATCACGATGATGTATTTAATTTTGACTCTCTTCTTTGTCCATGACCAGAATTCTTGGTAAATGTGATGGATTAAGTAATTCCAGTCTGTGATTTAAGAATATGATGATTTAGAGTGTAAAAAGTTAGTACAACTTTAATTGGTGCTGATATCTTTAGAATTTTATAAGCAACTTATATTGATATTAGGAATAATTTTTATTTAATGAATATGTACTGTAAGAAGCCAAGATATGGACATATTCATGTTTTGTTTGTAGTGTTAATTATTTGATTGAATAATTTGCAAGTGAAAATACTGTATAATAATGTTATTTAAACCAATATTTGAAATGAGATTTTAAGCTTAAGGAACATTTACAATTATTTCTTTCCATCGTTATAAATGTTGAAAAGATAAAGTTGCTGTATGAAGAAGTTCAGTATACATATACAGTATATCAGATACTGTATGAGCTCGGTTAGCCGAAGCCCGCTAAATCGAATATTTGGGTTATCCGGCCAAAATCGGATTCGAATAATTTTCTGCCAAACTTCACCATATCCAAAACAAAATTTGGATAACCGAAGATTAGGTTACATAAATGTTCAAGAACCACACATTTGAAGATCGACAGTTTCACACAAGATGACAAATTACAACACGGTAACTTGAAGTTTCCCTTAAATGTTATTTTTATTTATAGTGTGGGGTGGCAATAAGGTTTATGGTGGCTGTTATTTATGGACAACCTTTGAGCTGTCTGAGGGCAGTAATATTCCGGGAACATCAACTAAATTTCGGAGACTTGAGGCAAAGTGAAATTCACACCATTTCTTCCATCTATCATCATCCTATCATGCAGGAAGAACCCGCACGTCTATGGGTCATCCAATAAGGTTAGCAGACTTCTAGATGTTACCACTGCTAGGCTTAGG